AGCTCTGCTCGAACTGCTTTCCTTTTTATGTCGAGCAAAGTTGGCGGGTCAAAAACGCATGGGCCAGAACGCTAGTCGTGTGTGTCACGCCTCCGTGCTTGTGAAGGCTTCGTTCATACGGCAGTCTTCGTGGTCCAAATGATTTCGTACTAGTCGTGAGTCTATATTCCTCCATGCTCATGAAGGCTCTCCAGATCCAAGATGTGATATACAGAAGGATTTCACACAATTGAGAAAGAGCTCTTTAACATTGGCGAGCAACCTTGGCGGGTCAAAACCGCATGGGCTGGAAAGCTAGTCGTCTACCTGTTGCATGTCTGCTACCTTTGTCGTGGAAGTTTCGCCAGAACTGCTGCAACACTGCGTTCCACTTCATGTTCCCGGACGAAACAGCGTCGAGTTGCTGCTCCTCCATGTTGGCCGTGAAGCCGTAGTTCACATCCTCGCTGAAGTAGCGCGACAAGAACGCCGCCACCATCCGGTGTCGAAAGCGTGCTGGAGAGTACGTCTACGGCCTCAGCATCGCCAGCAGTGAGCGAGAACTGGTCCAGTTTGACGCCGTTGTGGCTCACAAGCTGTGCCGGAAAGCTCACTTGTCCCTTGCTGTGTGCTGGAGAAATCTCTGCGCAGGGAGCGCTCGATCTCCTTCTCCAAGCCAGCAGCTGACTGGATTCTTCCAGCGGATTTACTAAGCCCCTTCTTCATGATGCCTTCCAGCTTAATCATCTCGAGAATGTGCCAGGCGATGGCTTCTACTACTTCAGCCTTCTTCTGGCTTCTTGAGGACTTACTTCGAATCTTCACCATCTTTTACGTCCATGGGAGGCTTCAGCTTCGTTGCTTTCGCGACAGCTTTCACCTTTCCTGAGTCATCTTCTTTCGTAGCATTCAATTCGTTCTTCACGGGCTTTTGTTCCACAGGCACCGTTTGCTGCTTGGATCTGGCATTTTTCTTATATGATCCTTAGGGTCTCTTCTTGCGGCTTTGCTGTCCGTTTAGATTTTCTCGCAGGAGCCTTCTTCGTCACGTTGTCAGCCTTCCAGCAGTCGAGGCTTTCAAAGCCACTCCTTTCTTCCCTTTCCTTCTCATTTCTTCTATTGCTGGCGGAAGAGCACGGATTTGCAGCCTGAAGGCTAGCAGAAGAGCACGGGTTTTAGGCCTGTGCAATCCAATCCCCCTGGCTGGAAAATCCCATCTGGGGCAATGGAAGGCAGGAATGCCGAGCATGCCAGCCGTGAGAACAGAGAACTCTTGGAGGAGGCGCGCGGTGGATAAACCCTAAACCCTAGGGCTCGGAAATCTGCACCGTTGGATTTTAACCACTTGGAATTCGGTGCGAGCTCTACACTGGCAGCAGTATAGCTTGTAGGAGCTTCGCGCGAGGTGAGCTAGGGTTTTGTGTATGTGGATCCGGGAGCGACGCCATGGCGCGAAAGGTGTGACGCAGATATAAGGGGGTTTATAGGGAGCAGCGATGGACTGGACGGCGAGGCAGTATCTGAAGGTCCAGGGAGCCGAGAGCGGTGGAGCTCGGCCACAGTGTGGAGCATTTCATCACTCGCAGGCACTCTTCGCGGCTGGTTGGGCAACACATCACTGGTGAGATTTCCGAGCTAATTTCTCCGAATTGACGCGAGGACTTCACGTGATCCGGAAATTTTACTAAGAATGTGAGAGGTTTGGCTGATGATGGTGAATTTTCTTGCAGAGTTGATGCTCTCACTCTAGAGGTATGATACAGCTTTTGGCATAGATCTTTTGCATGAATTGGATTCTTTTTTTTAACTCCCAGGATTGGAGCATTAAGTCGTGGGATCTAGATACCGAGCACACGCATTTTTTTTATTCTCCAGCCGAGAAAACAGACAAGATCTCAGAAGAGATGCATTGCTCTGACACCACTTCGACCGTGGCTGTTCTTTGGAACGTATCGGCGTTCAAGTGTAAATGGTAAGTCTTCTTCTTATCAAGATAAACTAGTTGATGCGTCACGTTTGGTTGTAGCTGTGGGGACTATAGAAGGCCTTGTGCAAACTGCAGGAAGGCCTATCCCATCGTCAGAGAAACTCCACTAGGTTGACTAGTAAATGGGTTCTCTGAGCCTTGACCACTTAGTAATTCTGAAGATCGGAGGTGCCCAACGTTGCTTCTCGGTCTTGCGTTGAGCACAGCAACAACATAACTTTTTCATGACAAGAAATTCATGAAGCGTCAACTTTCAATGATCGTTAGTTTTGTTCGTATTCACAAGTTTCCCTTCCCGTTGAGAGTTCCTTGGACCGTTGTTTTGCACTTAGGAGCATATCATCTTAGCTTGACTGTATCACCTGCTCCCTTTTGTGTTGAGCATAGCGTCGACAATTGAAAAGAAAGAGCGAACCCAGTGTCTTCAAACGTTGAGAGTTTCAACACGAATTTTTTATCACCTCTAGCCTTTCTTTTATCGTTGATCATTCTAGAGCATATCTCTTAGCTCGTTGCAAGCACAGAAAATATCTCTGGTTTCGTTGTCTTGCTAACACAAAGAAAAACCCTAAACAAATTTACTTTGCGAGCGAGAGTGGACCCGGTCAAGGATCATGATCGTTGTTTTCATTGAGGTTGGACTATTGTCATGTACGTCTTCAGCTGGATTGAAGTTCTGAAGATGAATGTTGTTTCTCCTTGCGTTGAGCGCAGCAACAACATAACTCTAAGCACTGACAATCTCTCTAAAACGTTGACACAAAATCTCTCCAATCTAGTAGCATTTTTCTTCTTGGCACACGCTGTGACATGGCGTTTTTCAGTTTTTATCGTCGTTGAGCACCACCAGCACGTCACTTGGCTTCTTCATGACAAAAAATTAGAACAAATCGAAACACATGCGAACCTGGCAACGTGACACACAGCGTTGTCCACATCCCTTCGCGTTGGGAGTTCCTTGGCCCGTTTTTTTGCACTTTACTTGTTTGAGTTGTTTGAGCATATCATCTTAGCTTCACTGTGTCACTGGCTCCCTTTTGCGTTGCAATCGAAAAGAAAGAGCGACCCTGGTGTCTTCAAACGTTGAGTTTCTGACCCTCTAGCCTTTGTTTATCATTGATCATACCTCGCTTTCTTGTCCCCAGCAATCTGTCTTATATTGCGAACGCAAAGAAAAGTCCTACCTAAACGAACTTACCTCAAGAAATCCCGTTAGCCCTTCATCAACGATGAACCCTAAACTTGAGCTAAGTTCTCAATTAGTTCAAAACGAAGCACGAGCTATTTAATTACTCGTAATCCTGCTGAGCGATAGGATCCGTATGCATCGCATCGCCCTGAAATGTAAAAACTCTTTAAACAAATACACCATGAAATCAACAAACGTCTAAGGGGTCGTCTCCGACGAGCTCGTTATCTACGTACACAGTTTGCCACTCGGACCCGTTCAGGTTCTCGTCAATGCCGAACAGATGCTGCAGCTCCTCCAGGAGTTGCGTGTACTCAGGAAACTTGGATTTTTTGAAGCACCAAACTCTGAATCTCTTCTACTTTTCAAAGGTTCCAAACACGGTGCAGTGAGCTCTGGACTCGAATGAGATCTTACTTTGGTGCACGTCCTGCTTGTTGCTGATGCTGGTTCCAGTTCTGGCCAGTAAAACACTTCCTGAAGCCGGAAGCTTCCAACTCGAGATCCTTGTCGCCGTCATCTTTGGCGGTGGCACGGTGCTGGCCAAAGCTGTCTTTGGTTTCAACGAGAAACCAAGTAGTTTGCACTCGCGCTCAGAATCGTTTGCATTACCTCTCGCAAGGGGCTCCTCAACTCCTGAAAGAACAAAAAAGAGTAGACAAAAAAGCATTACATAAGAAGTGACACTTGCTGGGAGCATGTTGCAGCGAGGACAGCGTGGGCGACATGAGAAGCTTAAGAAAAGAGTTGTCTGTTGTATGTTGAGGCTGCAAGTAGACTGGGCAACTTAATGCTGCGCTGGGCTTCCGGGAGTTTTCATGGTGCATCGAGGCCTGCGGACAGCAGAGAGTTGAAGACGCTCAGACCAGGGATATGGCATTGAACGACTGCTTTCAACAAATGCTCCGGTGAAAGAAATAGCTTCAAGATTCCTGCTTTCGGAGGGTGAACTGCAAGAGTTGGCAAGGTATAAGATCGAAAAGGATGAAGCGACGCCCTTTTTAGCCGCTAGTACTTCCTCACTCGGCAACAGAGCTTGGACCTGAGCTGGTAGTGGAGGAGGACACAATCGAACAAGTGGTGGAGCGGGCAACAGCAGCAGTGCCGATGGCGGAGCAGCCAGAGGGTCAATGAGTGTGCCTGTTAAAGCTGAGCAAGTGGTGAAGCGGGCCAAAGCTGACGAAAGGAAACTAAGTGGTGAAAAATTGAATAGTGATGTTAGAATATTATGCAGACAAGTTTTTATACTTCTTTTTAATCATATGTTGCCTTTCTGAATTATTTTAATAAACTAATCAGAAGGGTTTAGGGTTTAGGGTTAGAGGATTGCAGAAGGTTTAATCCAGGATTGCAAGATAATAGAACGAGATGACAAGCTTACAAACCAGGTCCTGGAGTTGGCGCATGTCTTGGAATCACGAACAAGCTGCTTTAGTTTAAAAAACCAAAAAGAAACTGTTAAGAGTATGAACAACAACTGATAGTACCATCAAGACTACAAACAAAAAAATCATAGAAACGAACCATGGATCACGAATGCTCAAACAAAATAATCAAATGGATCAAACGAATCAAAGAAATGAACCATGGATCAGTCTATGCAGGAAGAAAAGCCCGGAAAAAAAAATCGATCTAAGTGAAGAAAAGGAAAAACGCGTAAAAAATCCACGAAGAGAAAGAAAATCTACACGTAAAATACCGACCAAAAACAAGAACAAGAGATGTCCACTCCAAAGTCGAAATTGATTGACACGTGCCACAAAATAATATGCCACGTCACTGACAAAGCGCAATGAAAAGCTGCCACGTTGTTTACTTTGAAATTTTTACATAGTTACGTCGCGCGCTAGCCCTAAAGAGAGTCGCCCTCTGGCGAACGCGAGGAGCTATGCAATGGTGTCCGTGGCGATGCTTCGGTGAGTGTGATCGCGACCTTCTTGAGCGGAATTTGATCTTGGGAATCCATCTGTGGTGAAGAATTCCTACGTGATTTTCTTCCTGGGGAGAGATTCCAGTCCGGTGCCATGGGCGGAGCTTCCTCCACACTCACCGATGAGCAAAAGGAGCTACAGAACTTGCGGAGTCGCCTGGGGCGAGATTTCGAGCTCCTGGCCAGCGCATTCTCGCGCTTGACGAAATCCGAGGGTCCAAACGCTATTCACGAATCAAAGCTCGAGGTATGTTGGTTTTTCTTCTTAAAATTTCTGGAACTTACAGGTGATCGTCGTGAATCCAGAGATGTTTTGGCATGGAAGTGGGACGCATCAAAGATCTTCCCGGCGAAGAAAGCTCAGATTTAAAATCCTTGCTCGAGAATTTTGGGTCGACCCTCACGGCGGTGGCTTTCAAGCCCGTGGAAGGATACGTAAGTTGGCCAGGTTTTCTCAAAGGCTACGATGGTTGCTGCCAGCAAAATTTAGTGTCTACGAGACTGAGATTTCTACTGCTTTTCGTGCGCAGCCTCAAGAGCCAAGGGAAGAAGAGTTCGTCCGAGACTTCCAGTGATCTGGACGAGAACTTGGAAGGTCAGGTTTCTTCCCGAGAATTCCGAGACGTTCTTTGGCTTTGCTGGCTGATGACTTTCTACAAAAGGCTAAGCAACGGGATTGAATTGCCGGTTGTGGAGCCTCTCGTCCGAGGGGCATTCCAAGACAGCGAGAAAGTCCCTCTCAAGGATTTATACTCGTGGATGCTTGCTACTATTCCAAGTCTTGGCAACGTGTTCGTGGATTACGTCCAGTACTGCTTGTTTCAGGTACTCTCTCCTCAAGCTTTTCTTTTGACACTGAGATCGTTTTTCCAGGACGAGGACACCGAAGTGAAAAGCGGCCTCTCTCACTTGCCTGGACACTTGACACCAGGAAGGCTATGGTCTCTAGCACTGGCTCTCAAAGACAAGACTGGAGACACTCTCTTGTCAGCGTGTTTGGAAGATTCAATTACTCTCCTCTACAGGTACTCAAACTAGTCTTTTACTTTCGATTGCTTTTCTAAGAAGGAAGATGAAGGCTACAGGTCTCCTGTGCATGGAAAAGGAATGAATCGTTTATGGTCACAGGTGGAAGGATATAGAGAAGCTGTGCTGTTTCTCTTTTCTGGGATGTCTGCCGAAGATCCGTCCAAGACCTGGTTGCTCGCGGCTGTGATACCCAGCGGCCTTGAAAACAAGAGTAACTTCTATGGAACTAGCAACTCGTGCTTGATCTGTTTGGATCCCGAGTTTATTGCTCTTCATCCTACAGGTCGGTGATTACTTTTTCTTCTGTTTCTCATTTTTCCATCAATTCAGGCAAGGAGAAGAACTATGTCTACAGTCACAAGACTGCTCCTGGTGGTGGCTACAACTCTAGACCGATGCCAAATGGAATTGGCTTTGGTGGAAGCGTGGAAAACGAGCGTATTTGGATCAGTGACGACTTCTCCACGGTGACTTTGAGGCATCACGCTGTGGACAAGACATACCAAGCTGGATTTATTCTTCCTTATCAGGTGCTTCCGCTTTGATAATGTTTAAAAACAAGACTTATCTGTGACTTAAGCAGGGATATGCTCCACTATGCTGCCAAGTTTTGGAGGTGGAAGTCTGGGGCCTGGGGAGTAAAACCGCGCAGGAAAGAATGGCGACATTCCAGCAACGCGAAAAGCTTTTTGCTGAGCAGCGCAGAAAGGTGTGTGCAGATTTTTTCACTTCTGAGAGCGTTTTGAGAGTGAGATGTGCCTGTTTCACTTCCGATGGGTTTTTTCCTAGGTGGATTTGAAGGCCTTTGGGAACTGGCAAGACTCTCCGGAGAAAATGATGATGGACATGGTCTCAAATCCAAATAGACCACAACGAGAAGAACGTTAGTTCACTCGGTTGAGGGGGATTGGAGTCCCAGAACAAGTGGCCACCATCCGAGCGTCCCTGGGAAACCTTGGACCTTCCTAGAAGGATGAAAAAGGTTCTTCTGGCTCCCTGGAGAAGGCAAATGCAAGAAGGTGTCGCTTCATAATTCTTTGTTGCTGAGGGATATAATGAACTATCTTTGACATCTTTTTATTGAAGGTGAGTATTTCACGATTTACTTAAAAAATTAGAATGCTTTGAAAATAAAAGAACAAAAACAAAATTATAAGAACCGAGATGATTTATGCTCCCAATAACATGAGAAACTTGCACGCCAACCTACGAGCTCGTGCTCTCTAAACGCTATAAACAAGGGTGAATTGGGATGCCTAGGAACAGCAAGTAACAGGCAATTTGATCAGAAGATGTGACAATTGGGAAACACCAAGTCTTTAGAAGTGAGACACTAAGGTTCACTCCATCCAAGAACATTGTGTAGTCAAGGAATTCTTTATTCCTGTTACCAATTTATGCTACAGTCTTTCATAAAAGTGCCTTCATGGTCGTGATTGTAAGATGCAAAGAATATTCTAGGGGATTTTGCAGAAAACCTACATATAAATAAATAACTTATTGTTGTGATGTTTCTTAGGTGATGACAACTGCAAAAACTAGAACTTCTGGAAGGAAGGATAGAATGGAAGAAACGCATATGCCTTTGCCTCTGGGTACCAATAATTGGCACGCCAGGTACCAGAAGCTAGATCTAAAACGCATCCCCATTTGTAATGAAAGAGCAGTGTCACCTCGGTACTGTTATTGTTTCCAGCAGCCAGCATGAAGGTGCATGGAGACTTTTTGAAGATTTCGGGCGAAAAAACACTGCCTAAGCTCAGGGATGTCATCGCCTGCCAGCTGCGACTCTCCTCATCCAGATACACAAAACCAAACCTGCGGCTTCCACGGTCGCTGAGGTCGTCACTTGGGTCCATCATGCCAAGCAGTATCTTTCCTGCAATTACCACAACGATCAGCTACAAACATACCACACCAGAATGCAGAGTCACCTCCACAAAAGATGAGAGACATATCCTTTCTTGCATAGCCGTATCCGCTCCTAGCAAAACAAGCCGCGTCTTCGTACGATGGTTGCCGTTCAAAGCCCAAGGGGAGGCTTGTCCAGGTTGCCACGGTTTGGAGGGTGGCCTTGGGGTTCCACACGTTGAAGGATTTGAGTGTTGTCACATTTCCTGGTGAAATAGTGAAGAAGTACAGATGATCGTCCTGGAGCAGCATGCAGTTGTTCAAGCCATCGTCTGTGGCACAACAAAAGAGCTCGCCATTGGCCCGGTCTGGCATAGGGAAGCTTACAGCAGAGAGCCACGCTGCCGCCCTGGAATCATACAAGTGCATCCGCAGGTCGCCAACAGTCATGGAAGTCACTGCAACAACGATGTACGAGAGTGTTTCGCTGCTGCATGGCACTGATTGAATAGCAGTGAAGATCACATATTCGTCCAGCCGCGGAAGCAGCTCCTGCCTGCTTTGAAGCATTGGATTGAGTACCACAAAGTTTTCCGTGGCGAGACAGAAGGCCAGTACCAAGCCTGCCGAGCAAGTGCTCATGCTTCCCTTTGAGAGGGGGAGAGTGAACAACACCTTCCAGGAGATACCGTCGGGTGAAATTTGAAGCTTAGCAGAGTTACCAAGGGAGATGTACCACTGCTTCCGTGACTGCTGCTGCAGGATTGCCGCGTGCCAACCCTTGGAGAGGGAGCGGAAGCGGCAGAGCGTCGGGATTGGGAGGAGAGTGATGAGCTCTTGTTGGATGTCTTGGGGCAACCGCGACCAGATTGAAGGATCCATTGGCCTCTTCCTCTGGGTACACGCATGGGTCATGCTCTTCTTGATCCTGTCTATCATGCCGTCCCACTTTCTCTTCGGCATCCTGATGCATCGATTTAGCTTTCTAAAGAGGAGAATATTAGATATTCCTAATTAGCACTCTTGCAAACTAAATGTGCCACGGGAGGTTGGGCGACCCCGACACACTCGCGGATGCCACGATCCCCAAACGATCAAGGCGGCAGAATCTGAAAAGCTCAAAGTAGAATTGCATGCTTTGAATTCATTTTCATATTGTCCAAATTCTTCATGTGCACAGGCTTGGGTATGTGTTGGGCATATTCTGTGGTCTACGATGCTGGATATGGCTAAAATTTGCAGCTACATGTATTTGCAGGTCCCGGCTGGTAAGCAATCTTTCAAGTCAGTCCTCCTCTCAAGTCAGGTGCTTTAAACTGAATCACAGTAGGAAAGCTTGCCTTAACCAGCTTCGATTTCACCTCCTGAAGTTTGTCTTTGGATCTCTTGCACCTCTGATGAAGCAATTCCTTTTCAACTTTAAAGTTCCTCTGACAGCTTCTTTCAAGAGTTGATACATATTTCCGGAAAAAATTCTGCAACATGAAAAAGAAGAAAATCTAAAGCCATGCCAGGTCCCACAATTTTTGTGTGAAAAGAATTTAATACCTCTTAAGCGTTGAAGAAAGCCCACAAGCGTGGAGTCTCCACTTCGTTCTAAAAACTCCGCCACAGTCATGCGCGAGTGAGGATGAATTTTGTCAGCAGCGAGCTGGATATGGCCGTGGGTATCATAAGTAAACACACCTGAAAGCGAAGAAATGAAAGACTGTAGAGCAAAAATTACTTCACTACCTCCTTGACATGTTTGTCTGCAAAAGGATTTTCCCATCTCAGACCTCGATCATCTTGAGCAAAGATCTGATTCAAAAGAAAAAGCTAACAGGCCATTGAGCCAAAGCTCCCACTGTCGAGGCCAAAGCGAGTAAAACACCAAGAACACAGTCAAGAACACACGAATCTTTTGTCTTGTAACCAGAACTTCGAGAGCGAATGGTCGATATGCTTGATAGAGCCAGCTTGGTACCTCAAACTTGCATAGCCAAGCACGGTCAGCTGGCTCAAGAGGATGGTTTTGCAACTTGAGTGTTTTTCTTCTTCTGAAGCTACCTGAAGTATAACCATGCTTCTCGTTATCAGTCCAGCGCTTGTTTTCAACAACAATCCGTTAAAATGAAAAAAACTGAGATTTTACGATAGAAGGCCATCATGGCACAATAGTATCAATAAGAAAAGCTGCTAATTTGTACATGAGAATGCCAAGGCTCAAAGATATCCGTGCAAACAAGATGTAAAAGTAGGAAAAAAAAGCAAAACTGATTCTCACGTATGGCATGTGAAGTTCTTTCAATGAGTTCTCGTTTTCTGTCTTCTTCAGAGATCTTGCTATGAGATCAAAAGAGGAAATGGACTTACAGAAACTCATAACATACCCTAAGGCCGATACCATTGCCATATGGATTGGTTCATTGATTCCTGTAAGAAATAACGGTGAGTTTGTGCTTGATTTAGCTTGAAACTATATACCTCCAAGAATTGTCAAAAAAAAAAAAAAAAAAACTCCAGGTACAATAAAGGCCATTTAGAAAATTTCGAACTTAGCAAACTACCCGAAAGAATCTACGACAGGACCAACACCAAATACAAAATACAACAGCAAGAACAAGCTCACGAACTAATCCTGCAGAGGAGTGAAAAAAGCTCACAAGTTTTACCTTGCCCTGGAGAAGATCCCCTCTGCTAGAATCAAACCCGACCTTCCTGGACAAAGAATTTTTCAAAAGTGAGAGAGAGAAAAACGTACCAAGACTTTGAGAAGTGCAGTAATCACTCCCGCTATCTTAAAAAAGTTACCATCACCTGAGATTTTATTTTTTTTGAGAAAAACCAACCAAGAAAGAAAGAAAAACCTTTGGAGTCATTTTCGTTGACCTCAAACAAAGACTTAGCACGAATCTTTTGCGAGTCTTCGTTTCCAGGGTAGAGGGATACCAGAAAAACATGAATCAACAAAAGCATGTAAGCTCTTTCCCTCTTTTTTGTGGTTACCTACTGATCCATTCGACAAAAAGACCACAACTCGCTCGTCGACAAAAAGACCACTCATCGCAGCACCTCACTCTTCAAGAACATGATTTCGTGTTTGGACGAGTTTCAAACTACAAGCACGTAGACGACTTGGAATGCATAGCAAATTGCATATGCCAAACCTTGCAAAAAGAAGAAGATTTATTTTGAAGAAGATTGCTGAGAAGTTCCAGCTTAACAATAGTTTCACCACAGTTGTCATTTGTCGCCAGTTGCAAGCACCATGAAAACTTACGAAGATTGTATTTCCAACCACATAAGCTATGGCGGACTCTTGCAATCATTAAGTGTCTAGAGAAAGTTCTTTCATCACTTAACTAGTCTCTTGGAATGCTCTTCCTGGATCCAAATCTTCGATATAAGATAGTGGTCCAAAGATACAATTGCTGTGGTGACTGGGAGCAACAAGGGCCTTGGGTTTGCCATTGCTCAAGGCCTGGCGATGACGGTCCTGACTGCCAGAGACGAGCAGAGAGGGTTGGTGGCTCTGAATTCTCTCAAGCAGGATCAAAGGATTAATCTGGCAACACTTCAGTTCCACGTCTTGGTCGTGAGAAGCTAATCCATCCAAAACTTTGCTAAATGGATTGAAACTAAGTTTGGTGGTTTGTACTAAATTAATTACAGGTCAACAATGTTGGAATCTTTAAGAAATGAGAACTTGGGCAATCCAATGTTCCAAGGATGTTATAAGCATGAATTTCTATGGAATTTGGATGATGATTTAGTGCTTGCTTCATCTCATGAGATACAATCTCACCATAGACCTTGCATCATCAATGTGAGTTCAGCAATAAGCCAGATGGACATTAATAACTTCAACCATCTTAACTATTGGGTGCACTTCAGGCTCTTCGAAACCAATGTGTGGTACAAAAGGTTCCAAGCTCTTAATGGAGACATAAATGCATGATGTAGATGCAATGTGTGGTAATCAGTTGAATAATAAAAGATAAACTTGGCCTATACTGATCAATATATATACCTATGAATTTATATTATTCTTGCAAATCTAGCTTTGCCGTAACTCGCCCTAATCTGGGAGATTAGGGTATTAGCAGCCGTAGAAATTAGGGCTCTTGATAAAAGACGGAATGGATGACTCTAGCTTGCGCAGGCACGACGATGGAAGGCCACGCTCGGGCGAGAGGCCGCGCTCCAGGAGCCCCGGGCACAGTCGTAGCAGCAGGGGTGACGCCTCCCCGAGGCGTCCATGCACGGAGGAGGAGGAGGAGGCCACTGGTTGGGTCCCCATTCCAGGCAAGCTCCACCCCACCGGACTGGATGAGGTGGTGGCT